TACTACAATTAACGTCAGGTTGTGTGGATGCGAACCCCATGCCTTGCGTTATCTCGAAAATAGTACGTTTTTGGGCTTAAAAACGCAGGATCCGATAGTTCCGGAGGAACTATCAGGGTCTTGCTGTACGCATCAAAATCTTCAAGGTCCAATTTGTCCCGCATCGATCTACAGACCTACCACCGCTCCAGTATTGAAGCCTAGCAAAATGTTTGTATCGACTTTATTTATTTTAGAAAGAAAAACAAAAGCGGAGAATACGATTCGCTAACCCACCGTGAAATTCTGAATCCAACGGTACCCCATTCATGGTATTTGAGCATGACAGGAGGTTATATTTGGTACAAAACCGATTTCGAGCCTTACTGTAATAATATATGCACGGATTTCGTATAAACTGTCCATGTGATGGTAAGGATGATAGGATCGTGTCTTATTTTTCATATGAGACATTCTCGACCGCAAGAGGCCTAAGACAAGGAGATGGCTATTCATGGCTGCTGTTTAACGCAGCACTAGAGAAAAATTCGGTCCAAAATTTATACTACGCAGACGATATAAATATCACAACAGATCATAGAGGGTTTTCCTACCAATTGAAGTAGCAGGAGAGACTGTGGGCCTTCAAGTCAACCAGGCAAAGACTAAATATATGATAGCCCCCATGGCCATCACCAGATATACATTTCAAACTGTAAATAATTTTCTTTATCAAGAGTCCGTAGTTTTCGTGCAGATAACATGCCTTGCTATGTGGTAGCGAGACGAATCACCACGGCAAATAGCTATTATTTTAGTCTGGTAAAAACACTAAGAAGCTGTCAAAAAAGTCTTAATGTACAAAACATTAATTATACCATAATGATAAGTACCAAAGTTACCATGAATCATAAGTATTATCTTTACCTTTTGAATATCTAAATATAAAATGATGTTATTTGTTTAAAAAAAAAATGTCAATATTATGCATATGTGAAACAGAATCTACGTTTAAAAAACAAGCAACAAAATACTTTTATTTTTGAACCAATGAAGGCCAATTTTCTTATCAACCCATTATTTCTCGATCCTAACCCTTTTCTCAATTATAAATATGAGCAAACTGTTTGGAAACCTAATCAAGGTTTTGTTTTTATTGTGACGCAAGCTGCCACCGTTCACATCCGTAAACAACATAATAAATTTAAAATAGCCTTGTATATATTTTTTTTTCAGATTTCTGCTAGCTCGGAGTGACTTACTTTATGAAAAAAAAAATTAGTTGCTTGAATGATCTACTATTTTCTTACAGGAATTTTCGGCAAAATAAACTTCCTTGATGGATATATTTTATTAATCATAAACCAATTTAAAACGGTACTGTTTCGGAAAATCAACTCCTTTTGTAAAAAAAAATCTGTAAAATTTCTTTTACATTAAGTATACTTTTGTATTAAAATAAATTGTTGTCTAATATTTTTTTTTTCTTTTTTTTATTCTTCCCTACCACGCCTTTGATGCTATACGGGATTTTCCCGGACCGGGGGGTGAGAGCGGGGAATTTAAAATCCCGTCCGGCACCGGGACGCGAACTCGTACTTTTTTAATCTTCTCAAATCTGTTTATCCAGTTGCCAGACAGCTCGCGGTGCTGTGCACATGCTTTAGCACATTCGGCCACCCCGCCCCCCTTATCTAATATTTTAAATATATATTATCATTTTATTTTATTTACATTAGTAACATTAAACGGTAACGTACTTTTTTTTTATAGTGTACAAAATCATTCCCTCAGTCACATAATGCAGTTAAAAATACACACAAAAAAAAATAAGGAGTAGACAGTGTCACTTTCTGGTGTTATGATTACTGGTTTTAAGAGACAGTCCTCTTTGAGTCTTCTTATTATCTTTTCTTTAAATGGAAATGAAGCTACTGGGCCAGTCTCCAGAATAGAACTCATGCTATGACTATTACCTACTTTAAAGAACCTACTGTTTTTTATCACACGTCTATATAATATCCAACCTTAGTATTAAATTTGGATTTGTCTGCCAACTCAAGAAGGGCGTTCGAAATGGCGTCCATCGAAAGAGGATAATAAATATCTAAAAACTGCATTTCTTTTGGCAAATGAGATACTGCTTACTACCTAGGTATCAAGAAAATAACGTAACCGAAATTATTGGGTTGGCAAATAAGTCCTTTCGGTTTTTCTGTCACTATGATACACTATATGATGAATTAATCCCTGAGGTGGATTGTTTAACCTGTTTGTAATATGTCAACAACTATATATGTTAACTCTTGTTGAAACCAGCTTAGTATTGTGTTTGCTATTGCACTTTATAAATGGAAGAAAATATCATTCATTATCAACATATTTTGTAGTATTATTTTAAAAAATGTAAGCGTGCTGCAGAAGCTCATAGATAATTTGCAGTGTTTATGGGGATAATGCCTTAACAGAATGCACCTGTCAAAATTGGTTTGCCAAATTTCATTCAGGAAATTTTGACATCAATGATGCTCAACGGTCTGGTCGCCCACATGAAATTGAAACGAGCAACGTTAAGGTCATAGTTGATTAAAATCCCACCCAATCAGTGCGAGAGATTGCTATGGCCCTAAATATTTCGCACAGAAGCGTAGAAAATCATTTTCACAAGCTCGGCAATGTTTTTAGGCTTAATGTTTGGGTCACCACTCTCTATCCGAAGTCAACTTGGCATTTCTGTTTGTGATTTACTACGGAAACGGTAACAAAACGATCCATTTTTGAAAAGTTTGGTAACAGGAGATGAAAAATGGATATTTTACCATAGTGTAGTCCGTAGAAAATCTTGGGGACCTAGTAGCGAGGCTCATGGAAGAATGTCAAAACCCTGATTGCATCCAAAGAAGATAACCCCTACCATATGGTGAGATTTCAAGGGTGTTACTTTCTATGAGCTATTGCCATCTGGACAAACAATTGATTCAACTCTATACTGCTCACAATCAACAAAATCGGATCAAACAATTAAAAATAAACACCCAGAACTGACAAATCGGAAAGGTGTTGTGTTACCACCTATAAAACGCTATGCCCCACACCTCATTGGAAACTCGCTATAAATTATTGAGCCTTGGTTGGGATCTTTTGCCCCACTCTCCCTATATACCAAACCTAGCTCCAAGTGACTACCAGTTATTCCGGTCTCTGCAAAGATCTATGAATCTCTATAAGATCTCTATGAATGGAAAGAAATTCCAAAAGAGGACATAAAAAACCACTTGGATCAGTTTTTAACAATAAACTCCAAACATTCTATGAACATGACATTCTGCAGTCAGTGGAAAGATGGGAAAAGTCATATTAAATAATGGTCAATATATTGTAGATTAAAATAAATTTTATTTCAATAATACTGCTATGTATTGTAAGGGTCACCTGTGGAATTTATTTAATCATTTCAAATGAATAAATATATTCTAAATGATAATTGCTAACACCTGGGCGGCTACCTAAGGGAGAGTAACGACCCACTATTGAGTGCAACGTTTTGTAAGGGGCAATAAAACACTTAGGGACAGAGGTCGGCTAGAACACCAAATAACTGACAACGGTCTTACGGGAGCATGTTTGGAGAGGATCGAAAAAGCTTGTCTAACCAAAGGAGGGAACAGAAATACCTTCGAGAAAGAGAAAACAGAGTACAGCCTGGGGGCGTGGTCATTCCTTATGCTAGGAAAATTCAGCCAATCAGAGAAAGAGAGAAACACTTTATTTTCATAAAATATAAAGGATTGCTGCCCAATTATATTGGGTTGCTATATACACAGCATACTCTTCTATCCTTAAGACAATACATGAACTTATATATAAATATACAGGAAAGAGGACAGTTGAGGAAGATGGCCTGAGAAACATGGACTGGACACAGAGGCAGCTGGGGGTCAATCTTGGAGAGTCTAGGGAGGCAGCTCGGAAAAGACAGCTAGAGATACCGGAAACACCACTCGCCATGAAGAAACAGCTCAGTAGAAACATTCATTTAGTAATACATATGTAAATTTGTGTTGGCAATCATTAATCATTAACAGAATCAATAGATCATTATTAACTTCAAGCATTACTATCCAAAATAGCATTCTCCTCTAATATAATTCTCTACTACTCATTGTGTATATATGTTTTGGTTTTGTTTGAGTTTATAAATATATTAGTTATTATACCATCTTGTTAAGTTTACAATCTACCTTGCATGCCACCAATTAGTTATAGAAACAAATAGTAAATTTTTAAACACGATACCTTTTGAAAAGAAATTCAATAAGAAGTATATTAATCAATCTAGGATATTACAGCAGCGGGTCTGTGGTATCTATCCTTTAAATACACAATTCATATATTTTTCAGTTGATCGGTTCCCTTTTGGAACCGATATAAATACAAATATAAGTATTAAATACATTAAATAGAAATAAATGCGGTTCCTGGAACTCCCTACTCGCCGTAGAAACGCGAAAGCCAGGAACATAGCAATACATTGAGTTTTATTTCACCCTGAAAAACCGAAAGAACTTATTTGCCAACCCAATACTTTATTTCTAGTAAAATATCATAAAAGTTCAAACTGATTTTAGTAACATCTTTCATGAATGTATTGAATGAATGTTTATTAATAGAGAACAAGAGGAAACGCTGGTTAACTCAGAACAAAAATTTAATTTTTCTTAACGATTTTCAAAGTACTAGATAATCAATTACTTCTATAATTCAAGTATTAGAGGTTTTAAGAAATCATATCCAAAATTTTCATTATTATAACTTTTTAATATAAATTTTAAAAATTAGATATTTTTTTTTAATCAAGAAAAGTTTTTGAACTGATAGTTTCCAGTATGAGGAGACGTATTGATTTAATTCTATTCAGTCATTATATTGAAATTGTTTAGCAATGTTTTATAATGTAAAATGTTTTATTTTTCTGAGATTTATAAGTTATCTATAGAATGGTTATTAATTTCTCATCTTACCCTGGCAAATGCAGTCCATAGATGGCAAAAAGTAGTCATTGCAGACGTAAGCTATTATGACAAAACAGTAGATTCCGCATAGTATGTGAAGAATAATTGCACCGTTCCTCCTTTGCTGGAGGGTGAACAAATCTTCGGGGAACTCGGAGGTTTCTTCTTCTTGTTTGTTGCAGTCCGCTAAGGTACCATTAACTGTCAAAAAAACAAAAACAAATATATAAATCAATTGACTCAAAGTAAAAAGTTGTTAACTACATTTTTAATTCTTTATCATAAAACGAAATAGTCCATATACATAACCCTTTTTATCAAATTATTAACATCCAGCTGAATCTTCGTAAATAGCTTCATCTTCATCTTATTGTAACCGAAAAATATTTTATTTAATGAAATTCTGGGAATTGGGGCGTTTTCGATCTAGAAGTCGGCAAACTTTGCCCTCTGTTTTATTAGGCACTAAAAATTCGAATGTACCCATTTGAATCGTAAGATAACTTGAGCACAAAGTCGAGAAAAAAGGTGGCCTTCAAAAATTTGAGCCGTTTGGCGTACATCTACACCCCCAAATCGTCACAATAAAGAGGTATTATAAGCCAAACGGCCCAATATTTTTGTAGGCCACATTTATATCGATTTTGCAATCAAATTATTTTACAATAAAAGTAGAAAGCAAATGGGTATTTTTAGTACCTAATTAAATAGACAAAGTTAGCCTCCCTCCAAATTGAAAATGCACCAATTCCGAGAATTTTCATAACATATTTGTAGGCTACGATGAGATAGAGTTATTCACAAAGTTTCAGCCGGATGTTAGTAATTTGATAAAAAAGGGTCTGCACAATTTTTCTTAAGTATCAATAATTATTTTTATAATGATAAAGATACTGTCGGCCGTGGATGTAATCAAAGGGAAGTTATTGAAGGAGGGATTCAAAGATGTTAAGATGAAAGTAAAAGAAAAGTAAAATACTTAAAATGTAAATTAGGATGTCTCCCGGAATTCCATTGTTTTGTGGAACATTTTTTTTTCTCAAGAAAAGAGTAAACTTAAAAAAACTTAAAATATTAAATAACTTTTTTATTTTAATCCAACGTTTCGAGGCCCATTTATGCAGGCCTTCATCAGGGCTAACAAGATATGTTGAAGGATTGATATGTTATTTAGATAAAAACTACAACCATCGTAAACAGAATGTGTATAAAAATATTAATAACATTAAAATATATAAACAAAGTAAATGAAGTATAACAACGTAACCAAAATATTATTGCTGATTAATTTATAGTATATGAAATGTAACATATTTTGTAGAAAGATCACACAGACCTCGACAAACGGAATTATCCATTGTGCATGAGTTGTAACATTCATATATATATATATATATATATATTATATTTTGTATCTATTTGATTTATGATAATAAACACGTTTTCATTCAACTATATAACAAAAAACTAAAATAAAGTAAATGAAATAGTTAATAATAATGACAGATAAGAAAACTTGTATGCAATAGAGAGGGTGGATAACACTCGTATTATGAATATAATTTTACAAATCTTAAGGACAGATTAAAAGGAAAAGAAATGGATTAAAAAGTATGGAGGGATGAATTAAAAAGTGGATGGAAGAGTGAAAAAATAAACAAATAATAAATACAAAAGGGAGTGCGAAGTGAAAAGAGTGATGAAGACTTACATATGGTAGGTCTTACGTATTTATTTTGATTACCTTAATTCTTAATCTTAATCTTTATGATCGTAATTTATTTAATTATTATGCATTCTTATGTAAGTCGACCAAGAATCAGGTTTTATGACTTATAAAATTTATATTTTATGTCAGTGATATTTCGTTCATGTATAGAAATTCCATCGATGTATAGAATATTTGTCTCTGATAAAAATGTAAGGTTTCAAAGGATGGTTCGATATGTACAGATTTTCAATATACAGAAGTTCGATTGTATAATTTATTTAATCATTAACAAATACTATTATCAAATGCCTAACACTCATAAATTTTATTTTTCTGTTATTAAAATATATAGTCCGTGGTACAGATCCATTTTTATCAAATTATTGACATTCGCCTGAAACTTCATGAATAGCTTCATCTCATCGTAACGTACAACTATATTATTTACAAAAGCCCTTGCAATTGGGGCGTTTTCAATCTGGAGGTCGGCAAAGTTTGTCTACAACTCATAAATAACCGTTTGCTTTTTACTTGGATTGTAAGATAATTTGAGTACAAAATCGAGAAAAAGGGTGGCCTACAAAAATATTGGGCCGTTTGCTCTAAACAGACTCGTTATTTCCAAAATTTGGGAAAGTAGATCACGTCAAAGGCTCAATATTTGAAGGACACCTTTTTTCTCGAGTTTGTGCTCAAATTATCTTACGATTCAAATGAAAAGCGTATGGGTATTTACGAGTTTTTAGTACCTAATTAAATAGACAAAGTTTGACGATCTCCACATTGAAAACGCCCCAATTCCGAAGATTTTCGTAAATAAAATAGTAATAGGTTACGATGAGATGAAATTATTTACGAAGTTCAGGCGGATGTAATAATTTGATAAAAAGGAGTCTGTACCACGGACTAATAATTATATCTATTAATACAGGATTATGTTTGTCCATTGGAGTAATCAGTACGCTATGTGAATGAGTTAAGCAGCCACTAATATTTTGATCTGTGCCTACATCCGAATAATGAATAACTAGATCTCCTAAACAACGCAGTACAATTCTCAGAACTCCTACACCCAAAACATTTAGTGAAAAACAAATAAGGCTTTAAAAAGAAACGAGAATCATGAATAATAAAGGTGTGTCAAATTAGATGTAGCTCCTCCAAGGCCAAAAATGTTGTTGTTCCAAAGTTTGGAAAATGACATGTGTTGAAAAAAAAACGCACAAATTAACCTGGAATGTATCGAATCAGTATTAAAACTATTTTTTTTTTCAAATTTATGTATTTTGTTTTACTACAACGAATATATATATATATTTCCTTATTATAAGTGCATCGTTATTACTACTGCGTTACTGGTAATGATCGTTTCTTTCTTATAGTAACTGTAACAATTCCGAACGGGTTAATGAAGCGGTAAGACAATGGAGGCTCACTGACATCAGAGACGTTCTGGATGCTTGCTAAGTTATAAAGGCTGTCTTAATCATTAGTACCCTCGAGCCTGATATAAACTTCCTATAAACGCTTGCCATCGACAAATAGATTATTGTTAGTAGATATAGTCGTCTGAAATAGATAACTGTAATATTGATCTTGTTTTTAAGAAAGATAAGAGGTTACGTTTCGATCCTTAATAATCTGTTTTTTATTTGGGCTGCCTAAAATGAAAAAAAAAATGGTCCTTTTTATCACCGGTCATAAAGTGCTGAAATTATCAATAAACAGGAACTCGGTCCTAATCATACAATTAGTCCGTCTATAATACATAAGGATAATAATAATGCAAAATATCAAATCGGTGATTTTTTAATTTTATTTTTTGGTTTTAAAGGACAAAAAAATATATCATTACCCATTTTATGTGATTCTATGAACTGAATTAGTTATTTATGTTTCTCTGTAAAATTATATCCTTGGCGAGAGGTAGAGGAATGTCAAAATTGCGATTTTTTTGCTGTGGAATAGTCCTCGACTGACGGTTTGGTCATCAGATAGCCGTGGGTGAGGCCGCAATCTCCTATTCTCAGACTAGTGACGACCAATTCTCTTCTTGACAGTCTGGAGCATGTTCACTTTTTCACGGTTGATTGTGAGGTTCAGCTTCTGGTATATCCTCAGTATTTCTCTGATTCCCACGATGTATGGCCCAATTTCATAAATGGTTTGTGTCATTTCCATGCAATGACAGTGTTTTTCTTCAGATAAATAAGGTCAAGATTAAAAAAAACATAATAGAAAGTTAATCTAATTATATCAAAAATGCATTAGCGACTTTTTGTAATAAACCGACATTACGTTTTAAAAATCAATTTATATTATTTGATTTATTTTTAATTTTTCTTAAGGGGTAAGGGTTAAGAGCGGAAGACTAATGCTAGAGTTAAAAGACCCCCTCGACACCGAGAGGAGAACTCGTAATTATTTGTATTCAAATTATCTCATATATCAGGTTGCCTGGCAACGGCGGTGCTGTGCACACCCTTTAGACCCCAACGCCACCCCACACCTATCGAAGATAGGATAGTAATAGCACTATTTTCAAGATATTATATATATATATATATATATATATATATATATATATATATATATATATATATTTATCTGTGATATGTAGTGCCCCCATCCACTCTTCTACGGCCCTGGTCAGGTGATAGAAGAAAGTCAGAGCCTCTTTCTAAACAACCCTTGTGTCTCTTTGTAGACCTTTTGCCGCCTTAACAAGCCTTCTCCATCTCTGCCTTTCTTGAGGTATTATCGTTTGTATTACGTGCATGCAGCTTCACAGTATCTTTATTGATTCCATCTATCCATCTGCTTTTTGGCCAACCACGTGATCTCTTGCCTATGATTGAGACATATATTGTTGCATAGATACTTCACCGAGCTAGAAGCGGGTGCTCATCTTAACCTTTTTGCCTACATATCATGAGATATTGATTAAAGAGTCTGCGTTAATAGTTCTTTATTGGTCTTTTTCCTCCATGAGTAAGTACTCCAGTATGGATTCCACATCGCTCTGGTTATTGTGCGTAGGATTGTTTATCTCAAATCTTTCAATTTTTCTTTCTACGGTGCTGAGAGAGGGGGTTATTAATATTGCTGCCGCGTATCGAAACTTGCTCTATCATAGTATTGTATACCCTTAATTTGAGGTTCCTAGAGATGTTTCGAAATTTCGATACCTTGAGAAGAAAGTGAATAGAGAGACAAAAGTTCTGTTTGCGTTTGTAATAATACGCTAGTCTATTTCTGACCGTTGGTCGTTATTAAAGTTTTTGTAGAACCGAAGTATCCTATTAGCGAGTTCCTTTGACAGCGAAAAATTAAAAATAAATAAATAAATGAATATAAATTCATTTTTAAAACATAATGCCGGTTTATTACAAAAAATCGTTAATGCATTTTTGATATAATTAGATTAACTTTAGAGTATGTTTTTTTTTTTTAATCTTGACCTTATTTATCTGAAGTAAACCCCGTATAA